CAAATTTCCCCATCGGAACAGGTGAGCTATCTTGCCCATGGGGATTTGAGGAATGTTGGAATGGCATGTTAATTGTTAATGCATGTATACAGGAAATAAGCACATTATGATTTAATCTGCCTGATGTTAGAAAGTCGTCATCTATATCTCATGAGTCTGTACCCAGATTGAAATATCGATCATATGTAATAGTGCTCGCAGAATGTGTAATTTCTATATTGGTTAAACAAACTCGCTTAAACCGCGCGCGCAAAATGGCATGATCTTTACCGCGCAGTTTAAGCAGATAATTAAATATTATCAGCATACTTTATTAAATAATAATAATAATTAAAAGCAGTAAGTAGGTCTTCAACATCACAAGCTGCAAAGTTTTCAATCTGGGTCTGTACTGCTTCCTACGTCGGTAATTCCGCGGCCGAGCTCTCCGAATAAAGAGGTTCTTCACTCTCCCGCCAACACCAGACGACTACGACATCGACTACACCGACTCGGGAGAGACCGGCCAGGACTTCCTCTCGGGTATCCAGGACTCGAAGCTAGCACTCCTCGGGAGTCTGGCGGGAGCTAAAGCCTCTCTCTTCCAGGGTCTCCGGAAAGCCAAGTCTTCCCTCGCGACAGGTTGGTGCGCCGGCCGCGGGGATCGGTGGCGCAAGGCTCTCCATCAGCTGGCGCGGCCTGATGTAGGCCTGTCATTCCGTCGAGAACGCCGTCGAAGTTTTTCTTTGTGTTTTATTTTAGTTTCAGTGCTTTTGTGTATATTTTTTCGGATCAAGCAAAGCGTCTGATACCCTGTGAGTCTCCTGTACTGGGATAGGCCATGCCGGGGTACGTCACCCCCTGAAAGACCAACATTGGTTAACCAGAACTGGAATAGACTGAACGGGTGTTGCGTACTATGACAAATGAAGTACCAATATAAATATTAATTAAAATGAAGCCTACTATGCAAGAATCAAAAGAATGTAGCATAAATATATTCACATAAAATCAAGAACTAGCTAAATGCATATTTCATAAACGAAATTTTTCAGACTGAATCACCGCGCACGCTTGCTAAACCGTGGTTAACATTCATTATAATAAGCAAGTGATGCCTAAACAATCTAGAGAATGCCCAGAGCATTTATATATTCCTTTAACATTGCTACTTCTTTTTTTTTCTGCACCTGATAAATGAGTAATAACGTGTTAAGAAATCTGGATGCATACATAATATGTTGGGTAAGAGTTGAAAATGCCGATATTTCGGCATAGTAACTAAGATGGGATCTTTTGTTTATCAAAACGTTTGCTTCCCAGCGCCCTCCTGTACTGGGATAGGACAGAACGTACACTGGGAAAGCCCAAAACCGGGCAGCCAGAAATGGGATGGGCTGAAACAGGGTATCGCATACTAGAGTTGTCTCGATGGCTGTCAAACACTTTGATTGATCCACTTTCTTCCGTTGCATTCGCTTCTGGTATACGCTTCTGGTGGTAATGGCGAAGTGATTGTCCTGAACCCTTTTTACTAAGACTTTTCCATCTCCGCAGGGGTAAGTGGCGCTCTGCTGTCCAAGGGCGCTGGCTTCAGTAGCCTCTCTCAGACGGGAAGCGGAGGAAGCTATGGAAGCGGTTTTGACAGCAGCTATGGCACGAACTATGGCACCAACTCCAGGCCGGTGGGCAGGCCTTACCCAGCGGACCCCTACCCAATCTACCCTCCGTACCCACAGCCACAGCCTCAGCCCGTGTACCCCGTCCCCGTGTACCCTGTCTACAGACCTAAGCCCGTGAGTGTTGTACAGGAGGATGGCGTAGCAGGTCAGAGTTTCCTTTTGACATGACGTAAATAAGGTGACACTGACGGTTATCTAATTCCAGTAAATGATTCCAGACGAATTCACTTGGAATATCTTTTCAATGGAAGGTTTCTTTGCTTACACTTGCACTACTATATCGGCCAATTAACCTTTTTATTTTAGACAGCTTGCTTTTTTTCATTTTATCAGGAATAACCTTTGAAATCAACCAGGGCTGGATTTAGGCACGAGATAAACAGACTTCAAAAAGGCCCCCACGAAATGTAAAAGAATAAAGAGAGAGAAGAAGAAAAAAAAATGAAACTAAGAAAAGAAAGACACACACACACACACACACACACACACACATATACATATACATATATACACAGAAATATATGTATACACATATATATGTGTATGTATGTATATATATATATATATATATATATATATATATATATATATATATATATATATATATATATATATATACATATACACACATGTTGGATTTGATCATAAATCACACTTATATAATAACTTAGTTCATTCAACAATCATCAATTTGTCTTTTACAGTTCTTGATGTGTTCAGTTTCTATCAGCTGCCAAATAGACCTTCTATGGTTTTCTAAAGCCTAGTTTATCACCATGTCTTAATCCGGCCCAAGAACAGCTTTAAGTTACTTGTGATGGTATTGCATTGGTAAAACTTTATAATTTCACCATAGCTTATAGTAATTGATTGGCTTATGTAAAGCTACAGGTTTTCATTATCTATAAGCTTAAGTAACGCTATATTGAAGAGTATTTAAATATTGATTTGACTTCTGCCCTTAATTTTCACTTATTTAGCTATGTTTCGCTTCGGAAAGTAGGTAGATATTAGGAAACGTAATTAACGATCATTTGCTTAATGATGTGAAATCAGGAAGTGATTCTTATACTTATCTTTAAGAACTTAAGTCCGATGCTTAGCGACTGATCTTGGCGTTTTACACACAGGTTCATTTCCCATTAGATTACCTGTGTTAAACGAAGGTTCCTATCCCTACTAATCACTATGGTCTATGTAATTTACTTACATATCGCTTATGCATCAGTTTGTTTGTATTATTTCGGCACTTGATAGTGTCTAGGATTATTTTCTCATGTGTTCTTTTTTGCTTTTCGTTCTGCTTTTTGCCATTGTCAAGCTTTGGAAGATCATTCTCTGTTGAGGTGAAGAAAGTATCTCAAATCGCACTTATGCTTCATTGCCAAATTTTTGCTTTTAGTTGAATTTGGTAGCGACAAAATAAATAAATAAATAAATAAACCGCTTTGCTTTCATTCTACAAGCTTTCTCTTCCTCGCGGGAGGTATTTCGGGCTCGAGTAGTCTTGCCATGATATTCTCTCGACCGCAGAATCCCTTCGCCGCTTTCAAGGCCAAGGTGGAGCGCATAGTGCAGGCCAAGAAGGTAGCAGCCGCCCTCAAGCACGCAGCCTACAAGCAAAGTATCGAGGAGAAGTACCAACCGACTTACCCGACTTACCCCTCTTACCCGACCTACCCGACCTACCCGACTTACCCGACCTATCCCGGACACTCGACCCACGGCCACGGCGGCGCACAGAAGGGAAAGGTGAGTGGGGCGACGCAGGGTTGGCTGAGCACGTTGAAGACACGTTTTATTAACAGTGCTTGTTTTTGTATTGATTTCTTTCTCATAAAAATAGCAACATAAATTCATTACTCTGTTTGTTCTGTGTTTATCATAAAGTTTGATTAACACAAGCTGTTTAAGTACTAGAAGTACCTGAATAGGTGTATGATAATTAATACTGTAAATATGTGAATAACTTTTCAATTCATACTAACAACGCCAGAGAGAGAGAGAAAGAGAGAGAGAGAGAGAGAGAGAGAGAGAGAGAGAGAGAGAGAGAGAGAACAGGGAGAGTGAGAGAGAGAGAAAGAAGGAAGAGGGGGGAAGAGGGAGGGAGGAATAGAGTGAGAGCGAGAGGGAGGGAGAGAGAATGAAATAAAAAAGACAGAAAGAAAGAGAGAGAGAAAGAGAGAGCGAGAGAGAGGGAGAAAGGGAGAGAGGGAGAATGTTGTCATGTTGAAATTTTCCAACAGCATAACGCCATGAAGACTGTTTTGATTTCACCACCGGATACCACTCCGATAAAATTTCAGATGCGTTTTGACAGCGAAAACGTCGTCTCCTTTATAACCTTAATTTCTCTCCTCACAGCATTGTCATTCGCAAGAAAAAACATTAATTTTCTTACTTTTACTTATGATCACACATTTACATCGTTTATTAGCTTGCAGCCTTTATTTGAGCCACAGTAAAGGATTAACGGAGATTATAAATGTTCTTACTGCAGTATTTTGTGACGTATTCTGTTTCGCATTTTTTCTATTTGTAGTCGTAACTAGCAAGTTTGTTTATATATAAAATTATTTAAAGTTATCATGTGTTGTACTGTATTCTATTCACATATGAAAATTCAGATAGGTTTTTTTTTCTAAAAGTACATTATTTTGTAGCTTTTAGTGTTTATTAACATAATAAATATAGTTTCTCTTTCCAACGTCTGTGCACATATATTCCAGAAATGATTAATATTCCTTAATCTTTCAGTTCTTCGGCTTCCAAAGTTTCAAGGCTCCTCGTCCCGGTTATCATCACGGTGGATGGTAGAGGAGACGGTGCTGCCATCTACACGGTGAAAGCAACGGCAAAGTTTCTCCGAGAAATGGCTGATTGTTATTATTTTACAAATAGGTTTAGTCGTAAAAACTAAAGTAACTATTTTCATATTTGGTGTTGTACATTTGTCCGTTTTTTTTAATGATATTAATAGTAATGTAGTGTTATTGCGTGAAAGTTTTTTTTTTAATATCATGTAGACTAGACACATCCGAAATGACTAAAAATTAAAAATAAACATATACGCAAATCTTAAGCCATCTCACAATGCTACTTTTGAATTTTAAAAAAGAAATATGAATTAAGGTTATTGTAAGAATATGTTTTCTCTTTTTAACTGAAAATCAAGAGACCAATATATTATAATTTACCAATATATTATCTAATTTAGTTTTCAGCTAAATTAGATTCAAGTTTTCCAGTTATTTTTAAAAAGCCTTAAGTTATTTACGTGTTATATTTACAAATGTCTTTCTTTTGTGTTTGATGTCAAGTTTCGACATAATGAAAATA